CGAACTATTTTGGTCGGCATTATGCTGACCAGAACGGCAAAATTTCTGTGAACATTGATGGGCAAGTACCAATAGGAGATTCTGGCCGTCATCAGGACCAGTAAATATGTCTGCCGGAAAAAAAAGACGACCGTCAAGGAAATCGAACCCCGGTCCCCTGCTATCACTTGTTACAAATCGAACCTATATTCCAACGGAGCAACTACACCTTTATTGAAATGAGTGTGTACGGGATTTATTTGCGGTTAACTCTCGAGTAGGAATATTTAATTAATAATTATCATCATCATAACAGATATATACAAACATTGAACAAGAAAAAATATCCGATTTTCCGATTGACTACAGAATTTCTCTCATACCTATTTTATGAATCAGACGACTTGCCTATTATTTCTTTTGTAATGATGAAGATGGAAATCCCTTATTTCTACTGTTTCTATAGTGTCTATGGAAAATGAAAAAACTCCACCGCATCTTGTGTGAGAGTCGAACTCACAACCTCTCTATGGGTTACATATATGGTTGGTTGTGTGTTCGACTCTCACACGGGGCGGTGGAGTTTTTATCATTTTCCATTGTCACTTGAAATTAGGGCTTACCATCTTCATCATTATAGGTAGGTATGTATCTTTTCGGTTGAGTACCCGACAAAAATTATGACTCACTCGACCTATATATGCATATATCATTTTTTGTGACCGAATCTGATGACTTTCATGAAAATATTCAAATGCAAACCGGCAAAATAGTGCAGTGGTTGAGCGCTCGACTAGCAATTAGTTGCTATATATAGGTTCGATTCCTGGCAAAGCAGAGAATTTTTATTTATAAACGAGTTATAAATTTTAATTCTCGTATCCTCGGCCGGAGATGATTCCGCACGATTCGCTGTTGCGTTCCAATTAACAGTGCTGCTCCTAAAGTGGCGTATGGAGTTAGTAACAAAGCCTACACAGAACACACATTAGCTGAGAGCTGACGGACCTCTCGTAGTGGATGGCCAGTTGGTATGTATACATACATACCAACGAAGTACATGCATATACTTACTTACCTCGTTTAAATGCAATATATAAATAAACATACTAGTAGTATATATATGTTCGGATTATACTAGTCGATCGCCTCAACCATTGCGCTATTCCGCTGTTCTAAAAATTAGATGTTTCAATTGGAACTGAAATATATATATCATACAGTACCGGCTAGGTTATAGTTAAACGATTTCAATATGCCATACAGGGTGATTCATTAGGAAATGCGCATAAGTAAGGGTAGACGGAGCACATACCGGCGCGGGGTGCTTATAAATAATATATATTTCATGGGTCTATCATTCTTCGTAGCTGATAGATATATAGGGTGATTATTTATCAATTTTCTAATTTTTTTCAATTAATCATAACTTATATGATAACCACCCTATACATTTTCGTGATATTTGGTGGACATGTTCTTTGTCCACAGATGTGAACGATTGACATAATAAGATGAAGTATATCATTCCAGGACTCAAGGGCGTACCCAGGATCTGAACTAGGGGGGGGGGCAGCTTAGGCAAGGGAACTAGAAACTACCGAGAATCAGTATCAATCACTAGACATGCCATGCTTCAACTGAGAGTTTTTTTTTAAGTCTTAATAAACACAAGTGCTCCTAAGCCAGAATGTAACAAACAGTGTTGCCAGCTGCTGAAGATGATATGTCGCCAAAAGCTATAGGAAGAAAACCGCTAGAAGTCGCCAAAGCGAGCGAAGCGAGCAGAAAGCCCGCCGCAGGCGAAATTTTTGGAAATTTAGCGAGTTTTTTTCGTGATTTAGCGACATTTTTGATCATATTTCATTATTTTCAGTTAGTTTATATCATCAGATAAAAAATCGTAGAAAACTTTATTTATTCAGATTCTGTTTAGAATGAAAAAATAACAAAACAAATTGAATATAGGTGAATTTTCCTATACCTATGGTAAATCACAACAAACATTATTTTTGATCGTATTTAGGTTTGTCCTTGATCTTGTCACACGTTCATAAACCTGTCAAACCATAACCATGTATCAACTCATATTCCTAGTTCAACATATCATACAGATCTGCGACTTAATCGCAAATAAAATATTCGTTCACAAGCATCACAAGTTTTTAAACCATATCGAATATACAAACGGGTACACGGGTACGACAGCAACAGCGTTGCCAGATACCGCGATTTATCGCAATTTAGGTTACTTTTTTTGTTGGTTCTTGCGATCAAATTATGTTCTTTTCGATAAGCGACTTATTATTTAAGCTATTTATGAACTTGTAATCAGAACTGATATAAAAACACAATACTTCAACAGAAAGATTTGAAATCTTTCTTTATGAAACATCATTATTTTGCTCAATCATGATTAAGATACAAAATTTTCAGTATTCGGGAAAAAGTCAACACCTTGTATGTGCGAGAAAATTGTCATAACATTCATTCATTGAATTTGAATGAAATTATTATGAAAATAAGGAACAATGTCCATTCCGAAGAGTCATAACTTTGTTTTCAACAGAAATAACGTTGAACTTGAACATATATAACAGAAAATCAAAAAACTAGGATTGTTGTAATTTTCAAGTTGGCTGATGTCAGAGTACAATTTTGACGTTAGTTGATGACTTAAGAGTTTGTACCTGTGTATTGTGTTAATTGTTACGTTTATTCGTTAATAAATAGTTATCACTTACTCAAAAATCAAAATGCCACATAAATTTAATAATAATGAATATGCAGACATGTTGTATGTTTATGGACGCAGTGATGGTAATGGAAAAGCTGCCCAAAGAGAATATGCACGGCGATTTCCTGGCCTGACAGGACGACTTTCTCTAATGTATTCAGTTACCTGAAGCATTGTCGATCTAAATGGAAACCTAGTTAGGTAGTTAGTAGGCGAGAGCATACCTCCTCGCGTACTAGGTCGCCTACTAGGTTTTCATTTAGATCGACAATGCCTGAAGGAACACGGTAAATTTCCAACTGAAACACGAATGAAGGTAATGAAAGACGGCATATCGATTTGGAGCAAGATATTCTCAACCTTGTTCAAAATGATCCAAAAATTAGTACAAGAAAAATCAGTCATGCCACTCATATGTTCCCCAGTCTATGGTTTGGCGAAGATTGAATAAAAATAGTCTGCATCCGTACCATGTACCTACAGCAAGTTCAGAGGCTACATAATGGAGATGAAATTGAAAGGTTTTAGCATTCAGGTAGATGGTTATTACAAAATAATAGAATAATACAGAGGTGTTTATTTAGTGATGAAGCTCAATTTACCATAGAGACAGAGCATCAATGATTCAAGAAATTCCCATGTTTGGGCTGAACAAAATCCGTTTGCTATTTAACAAACTAATTCCCAAATCAGGTTCTCCTTTAATGTTTGGTGTAGCATTATCATCAACGACCAATTAGTTGGACCCCATATCTTACCACATGTACTAAAACAGGAGAAATGTATTTGGAGTTCCTGCAAAATACTATAGGTAGTAAGAGAGTTCTAAAATAACAACTTCCCGAATCATTGGATAGGCAGAGGACCTCACAACTGGCCTGCAAGGTGCCCAGATTTTAATCCACTTGATTACCATGTTTGGGGTTACTAAAAATCGAGTTTATTCAACTGAGGTAAACACTAGAGAGGCCCTCTTATAAGGAGAATTGAGGACGCATGCGACGTGCTGAGAAATGAGCCAGCTATGATAAGAAAGTCAATTTCAAATCTAACTTTAAGAGCACGGAAATGTAATGAACAAAATGGAGGACACTTCGAAAAACTGTTATAATTTTGTTGGAAATAAATTATGCTTTTTCCGGAATGGGCATTGTTCGTTATTTCCATGATAATTGTTGTTCCAAATGTATAGGGCAATAAACAAATGTTATGACAATTTTCTTGCACATACAAGGTGTTTATGGTTAGTCATTGATAATAATAATTTGTCCCAAATACGGACCAGTCTTCTCGTTTTCCAATTAGGTTGGGATCCAAAAATTAGGAGAGTAAGAAATAGTTGATGATTTCATGGTTTGAAAATGGAGGAGTCGTACCATTTGGGGACGACGACAATTGATTTTTTTTTTCAATTTTGTGCCACCTCATTATCGAAACATCTAGATTTGACTCAAGTTAATAGGTATAAAAGTTGTATGCGGAAACACAAAATACATTAAGCCTGACTTATTTTCTCCTGCTCTTTTCAAATTTGTGAATGGAAGTCCAAAATATTGATATACAGGGTGTTGTTTCGACTCGAAACCTACTTATAATTTTTTTTAAGGCCGGACCTGGAATGAGATTTCATCTTCTGTCAATCGTCACATCTATGGACAAAGAACATGTCCACCAAATATCATTAAAATGTATAGGGTGGAAGGTATGATTAATTGAAAAAAATTAGAAAATTGATAAATCACCTAGTATCTCAGCTAGGAAGAATGAGACCCATGGAATATATATTATTTAGAAGCACCTCGGTGTCCTCCGTCTACCCTTATACTCTATGCGCATTTCCCAATGAATCACCCTGTATAATGGGTAGACGATTGTACGACCACGGGTAGGTCGAAGGTAAAAACATAATACGAATTGACACTATATTGGTCCAGTGCCGGCTGAATTATAGGCAAACGATTACAATATGCATTAGTTAAACATAGGTATAAATAGATTATACAAAATCAAGATACGTTCTGACTCTGAGTTTTGTTTCTTCATTTGAATATGAAACTCCCATTTTTCAATAAATTTGTAGTAAGGACAAAAAATAATTTGACTGAGATGTCACTGCCTTCAAATATTTCATATTATAGAAATGAGGAGAAAATTACACCTTCATGAACGAGGAGAAAATTACACCTCTATTTCTCATTGATTCAACCTTCTGACAGATGTTATTATTTCTTTTTCATTTGGGAAATCATACTTTTCCAAACCAGCAGAAAAACAAAAGTTTCTTGTCAATATAAACCAATTTATTTCTGCACTTATGCTACAAGGATTACAAGAAGTAAGTTCTTGGCTTGCGGACAGAGAACCTGTTCATAGAGTTGTGTTGGATACGCTTAGGCAACGGGAACCTAATTTTGGAGTCGTGGAATTGTTTTACTTGGGGCCTTCTTGTGTCTGAGGCTTTCACTTCTTCGACCTTGATAATCTATAATGCATAAAAAATTTGATAAGAACAAAAATGAACATTTTTTATATCATAAATACGAAATTTGGAACCTAAACTGAGTGACAAGGAAAGCATTGGCCAGAGCGTAATTTAGGTATTTTTCATGTTAGATAATATAGTTCCATAAAACCCACATTTTCCATGAAAAAACAATTCAATATGGCTTTCGGTTTTACCGGCAATAAGCCTAGGTCGAAAATTTAGAATGGAACCCTTTAGATATTTTTACGCCATTTGAAAGAGCAAACAATTCACTTTTCAATTACATCACAAGTAGACATGTTTTTGACATGGATATTTTCATTCAATTCAAAATGGCGACACTGTGACGACATCGATCAAAATGTTCGTCAATTAACCTGATAAAATAGCAAGTAAACGAAGCAATTTGATAAGTGTTTGATGACACATGCGAACATTTTGATTCATCGCCAATCAGGATTCCTTTCAGTAATGATTTCAAATGCCATTTGTTCTCTTGAATTATCTTCCAAATTTTAAATAGGAAATTACACTTTTCTCAAATCAACATTGAAGTACGCCCCTTGTTTCTATTTTCAATTGAAAAATCATTGAAGGTAGTCTTTTGAATTACACCTAAATCAATGACGCATAAAATAGTTAATTTTATGCCAATATCAAAATGTAGTTGCAATTGAACGTTTCAGATTCGGTTGTGTACAATCGGAATAAATACAACTTTTCTCATCAAACATTTTTGAAATGAGCCTGTTTTCGGCGATTAATTCAAAAAGATGTATAGAATTTCGAAATAGATTGATATTAAACAGGGTTTCTCATATTATGCCAACTTTCTGAAAAACACTGTATATTATTGCTTTAAAATGAACAGCAGTTCAATTCGATTAACAAAGTCACAGCGTTGGTATGGAAATTACATCGATTGAATTTACAAAAAATATTTTGACAATTCTTGACAAAACGAAAATATGATCTAACCATGACCTGACACTCATAATAACCTTGCTACGTTTGGTTTGGCGGCCGTTGTTTTCGAGAACATGAAATATACACATGCGATTACACGCACTAGTTATTATTGTATCTAGTGCGTGAAATGCTCTTTTGATCGAGAACTAATTTTTTCAACGAGGCGCAATAGTCAGTCAGATCACCAAAGTATTTTCACGCACGAGTGGCAAACAAATTTTTTTCTACTAACATAAAAATATTGCTCTAAAATAAGTAGGCTTGACCAGGCTTCAAAAGCCTAGATTATTGTTAAGAATTTAGAAAAAAAGAAATATTTCTTGGATTTTTGCTAGATTGAGGATCATAAAGGTTGAAATACAGAAATCTCATATAGTTTACATGCCGTGCGCGCACACGGTGTCGGTTACAACGTAGAGAAATGAAAACAAGGGTCACTTTGCATAATATTGTTATTAATGCATGAACCTTGTCATTTTTTGACTTTTGTAGAAACAATACTTTTCTTCGAAAACAAAACCCTACAGAAAGAGGTGTAAGTGTGTCAAGCATTTATCTGTAGATACTGACTTGTATTTCAATGTTAATTGAAAGACCGCCTTCCTATCCAAACTTTATTTGAAAGCGCATGTGCGAAGCTAAGTGTTACAATGGGCGAGTGGACTTTATTGCTACAGGGTGTCAAAGGTAACATTGTAGAACATTTTCTCTGCAGTCATTTTGACGTTTTTGGGAATGGATGGATGTTTTGATGTGTTTTTCAACAACTTTAGTGCTCATGGCAGGGATTCGTGCCAAACTGAGTTCTCAGACAATGCGCGTGGGCACTTCTATTGTTTTATTGCCATTATGAACTGAGCGTTGAATTGAATGTGGACGTACGTTGACGAGCGTGTAGCATGGGCATTGAGACTCGAGACATGGAAAAACAATTTTTCGTTCCAGAATTTTTTATTCCTAAGTAGATTGAATATGCTTATGACAAGAAACCGTCAAAATTGACACCCGAGTTATAAATTTGATCAATCAATCCAAAAATAGACTTTTCCAATGAAGAATGTTATTTTTTGCTCCAAAATCAATAGCAACTTCTGAGTATATCATCCATCGAAATGAAGCAGTGAACATGTTGAGGACGCCACATAAGCGTGACAATTCTCAAGACCGCATTTTGAAAATCGAACGCATAATTATTGTTCAGTATATTATGAAAATTATTAGCGTTACATGCGTCTTTGATGATAATTCATGTTTTCACAGATTCGAAATATTGACACAATAATGTTTTTGACAGCTGAAAACCTTTTTTTCGATAATTATTCATAGATTTTCACATCTCTTGAGGCGCACTAATGGATATCAGTGGTGATGAATTCTTTAATAATTTTTGAGGCTGATTCTTATAATGCGATCAACTTGAAAACCGTCACGTTTTGAAATTGATAACAAGTATAACTATTCATTTGTTAAAATGTCATGTATTAAAAATTGATTAGAGGAACAACAGTACCAAGTGCGCATTTATGCCATAAATTTTGCTTATGTGGTGCCCTCTAAGATATATATCTAAGTAAATACCAAATCATGATTATTGTAAAAAATTAGTGCTAGATCATCAACTTTCACACTCTATCGATCATTACCAGCCATATTTCATAATTCATTCAGGCAGGTTGGCCGAAATTGTGATATTTTGAAGAAAACCCTTTTTTCTGCAAATAACATTAAAAGTGTCTTTTTAATGACACTTAACAGGCAGAAAAAGTTTGTTCCTATGGGTGAACACAAAATGATGATTTATTTGGAGAAAAAAATACATATTGCAAAAAAGAAGCCTTGGTTATGAAACGCCAGCCGCAACTTTGAATCTTGTGCTTTTCTGCCTAGCCTAGTTAAACAAATGACTATACTTCACTTCAATTTTCAGTTAATTAAGGACCACCCTGTATAGAAACAATATGTTATCAAGTTGAAATTCTTCTACTGGGATATATAATAAAAAAGAAAGGTTTTTGATCATGTTTGGCACTGATACCAGGAAATTGATTACTAATATTAAACCAACACCAACGATGCGGTGTGCCAATTTTATTTAGCACCGATTCGACCTACTTGTATATGAAAGATAGAAGTAGGAGATACCATAGTGCAGAAAATTATACATACATACCGAATATGACAAAAGATAAAAGTTTAAGCATTTCAAGATATTTATGTCACACTCATTGAGCATAAATTATAATGTTTTTCCACCACTAGATATAAAAAGTACCATTATTTACTCCTTTTCGAGGCATAGTGTGTTTTAACTACCAAGGTAGTTTTCGTCATTTTATGAACCACTATTCGATAGAGACTAATTAACCCAAATGCATTGTTCTGATCAGAGATTCGCAGGAGTGACACACAAATCTGATAGTTATTTATCAATAACGACTTGTCATATGATGTCATGGTCATGGCTAAGTATTGAAAATAAGTGCATTCATAGTCCGGTTTCACAGAACTAAAATGATTGAAATATATTGCTAGTGGTGGTGGAAAAAATGTGATATAAACCTTGGTAGTATGGAATATTATTACCAAGGGACCTTATACCCCTCGGGATATAATCTCCCCGGGTAATAATGATATTCTTTACTACCTTGTTCTATAAATAACGATCCTCTGTCACACTCATTGGCCATCATTTGAAAGATTATCTGACATAAATTATTATTCATCAACTTTAGAGCCATGTTTAGTTCAAGCAACAAACGTCAAAAAAAGAGGTCTTATAGGGAAAAAAATGGTGTAGTCGCAAATTTTCGTATAAATGAGCGGGGCAGTAGGGAAGCGTTTGAAGGCAATTTTTCCAAGTTGATCTTGAATAATTCGAAAATTGCTACCACTAGCGAAAAAATATAGGAAGACAAAATGGGCGAGTGGACTGATAATGGAATTATCAACATTTAATTACTCCACTGTGTCGTTGGGAGCTAAATTAATTTTTGTAACATTTCACACGCTTTTTTATGTGAATAATGAGTCTATGAATTTCAGAGCTCATTTCAAACGTATCGTCATGGCCGCCATTTGGTGATACGTCGAATAAATGGTGACATCAGTTTTTATGCTGTTTCGTTATTGTTCAGATAATCTTTCATTCCCATCCATGAAGGTTGTCAAGTCGTTGAATCAAACATAACAGGAGGAAGCCATGATAGCAACCAGCATACTCCATAACAAACTATCATGTTAATGTTGGAGACTTGTCAACATTGTGCTGAATGCTCAGGACTGACAAGACCACGCCCACAATTCGTGCGCCGTGCTGTCACGGACACAAATGTATTATAAGCAATAAACCCCAGCACATGAAGGAACATTTTTAGAAAATTGTTTTTCAATTGATAATTGAGAATATTACCAATACATAATTGAGAATTTATGAATTAATGAATAACTTATATTCCTGAAGTTCCCAATCGTATTTCAACATATGGCAACTGTGCTTTGGTCTACCCCTCTTACAAAATCGTCAGAATTTACTCGCGGTAAATTTCTAGCCGTTTGAAAATTACCGTGGCATTATTGATGATCTTAGCACCTCAAGATCGACCGAAAAATTAAAAAAAATGAAATTTAAATGTATTTGAGTGATGATTCAATTCAAGAAATAAAAACAAAATTGGTCCACTCTATTGAAGATGAAAATTGCTATAAAAAAGTTGTCATTTTTTTTTTCGACAATGAATAGTTTCTGAGATACAGGGGATGAAAAAAATAGAGCTTAATGGTATGAAACTTATGTTCAATGTCTTACCTATAGGTTTTATAGCTGAAAAGTGTTCGATTTGTAAGTGTGATGTTTGTCAGTCATTTATGTAACAAGGAATAAGTGGAGTGGTGAATGTGTGAAGTGACTTTTCTCATCTGTTGGAGCGCACGAAATGTTATCCCTATAATGTTCGAAGAAGATCGTGCTTGGGGAGGATAGGGAGAGGAGATAGGTATTGTTTTTTTTTCAACTTTTGGAGATTATAAGT